GACTCTATCCTAATATATATATATTTATTATACTATAATATATATATATGTATATAATTACTATATGGTATATATTGGTACATAATAATACATATGTAAATACAGTGTATATATGTTGTATAATATATATAACATATATATTGTATAATATATGTACATATATATGTATACATATATGTATATATATTACAATATATATAATATGATATACAATACTTATATATGTATATATACATATATATGTTATATAATATATGTCATATATTATATTATATGTATATGTATATATATTACATAAATACAATATATAATGTATGTATGTATGTATGGTATATGTATATATATATATACATATAACATCATACATTATACGATATATATATTACATCATATATATATATGTATATTATACATATATATATATATATATATGTATATACTATACATACATTATATATCTAGATATCTATATACCTATAGTATATATACATATATATACTATATATATGTAACATTATATATTATACATATTATATATATATATATATATATATATATATACGTATAATATATATATTAGATAGTAAGACTATGTGGCATACATATATGTGTGTGTGTGTGTGTGTGTGTGTGTGTGTGTGTGTGTGTGTGTGTGTATTATTATACTATATATGTATATATGTATATATATATATATATATATATGTATATGTATATTATATATACATCTATAACATATATATACAATATATATATATATATACATATATATATTATATCACTAATACATATATAATATAATATATATAGTATATATATATTATATATTATATAGTTATATCATATATACATTCATATATATATACATATATATCATACATATATATATATATATATTATATATATATACACACATATATATATATATATATATATTAATACATATTTTATACATATATATCTACATTATAATTATAACTATATATATATATATATTATATATATATATATATATATATATATATATATATATATATAAACATATACGTATATAAAATTTTGCGTCGGGAACGCATAGATGCCAGTGCGTGTTTTATGTGTATTATATTGTCCCATAGGTATAAGTGTGCAAAATACTATAAAGTTGTAATATGTATAGTAAAACGCGAAGTTCAGCATATAAGGAATAATGTTTTAATGGTCATTATCGATGTAGATGAATATTATTCGGCGTTGCGGGAATCGTAGTTATCATAAGAAGTATGCTTCATTTTTTATTAGCCAAGTAATTTAGTAATATGCAGTTATTCTCAGGTGTTGGCAATAATTCACAAGAAAATATGTATGCAACTAAGAGATCTATCAAATTACGTCATGGTTTTGAATTTCATGCCGCTGCTTGGATGGCGAAGTTACCAAGATATGATTAAAATCGTGTGCAAATATTTCTTAAGAAGCGAAAGCAAATCAAATAAGAGCATTTAACCCACACCGAATTTGTATAAGGCGAGCGCGAATCCCGGTGAAAGTTTGAGGGTCGCAGTGAAAGGATCTGGTCACCGCTGAAAATTAGTCGGTCAGCTGTTACTGTCAACAAAGAGCAGACGACGCGAAGGGCGCGGTGGCGGTGGCTGCGGCGGTGTTGAACTTGAGCTCGCATGGCTTTCAACAGAAACAATACGGTTTTACGGCCGATTTAGTTTTCATGTCGACTTAGCAGTGAGTTTGTTTACGATTAGTCGAAATGTCATGATTTGTTATGCAAATAGATCGAGTTGAACCGAGGTACCAGATTTACTTTCTGATACCAAAGGTTATTGGCAACTTTGTTTATGATAACGTATTCTTGATACATTTTCATATTTCTCGCGGCTTCCTAAGTTTGTTTATTCTTTCATGCCATTTCAATAAGTGTATAAGCAGTATAGAAGGAGCTGGTACTCATACTTTTATTACAAACAAGATAACATAGCTAAGTTTGTAAGTAGTTGGATATGTTGGGAAGAAAACAGTATAGCCAGTATGTATTTGTTTGTATTGCTTGAGTTTAAGAACAGAGGTTGTGTAGATAATTTATTTATTTTAAAGAAAATGTTTTTTGTTGAAGTAGTACAATCTTATGTCAACAACACCCTTGCTTACACTGAAGATTGTCATCCTTATGAGCTACCAATTTTGTGGTTGATAGTTTGTATTTATTATATCTTTATGTATATAAGAAGTGGTTTATTAGTGTGTGGATATCCATTTCATCCTCCAGGATGTAGGATTTTGGACCCGATGTATAGATACATGATTGTATATACAAATTTTATCAGTTTTAGGTAATAACATCCAAATAAGTATTTATCATTACATTTATTTGACTTTATAAGCTCTGTATAATTTCATCTTTTGTTTTCATTACAAACCTTGTATCTGTGTCTGCAAAAAGTATTTTCTGTCTCCTTTGTAAGGAATAGCCTGAGATATTACCCTAATCTTATATTTGCAATTTCAG